ATAACATCAAGAGATGACTAAAGAATATGTGGTGTTTATACATAGTGGAATACTCAGTTGTGAAGAATGACAAATTTGAGATTTTTGTAGGAAAATGGATGCACCCTGAAAACACAATGATGAGTGAAATAAACCAGATACAAGCTTAAAACATTTGGTAGCTCTCATTTAAGTGAGGCAAAGAACAAATATGGAGAATGATAGAGGATGGATAGAAAGGGACAAAGGTAAGGATCTCTGGCAATAAGGAAGAGGACCAAGCAAGCAAGGGCAAAGAGCGAGAAGGAAGGGAAGGAGAAATAAATAAAGCTCTGTCATGTACAGGAGCCTAATAACTTCAATGAATGCAAACATTATATGCAATAACATAAGCTAAGATTAATAATATCAATAAGATCTAAAAGGAGATGGGCTGGACCTGTCATGCTGGCCCTGACCCCGGGGCACACAGATGGCGATTGAGACTGATCATGGTGGCGTGTGCCTGTAATCCCAGCACTTGGGAGGCTGTAAACAGGAGGTTCACTACAAGTCTGATCTATGCAGTGAGACTGTGTACACCCTGTAGACCCTGTCCTAAATACAAAAAAAAAAAAAAAAGGAGATGGGGAATTGGAGGAGGAAGGAGTAAGAAGAGGGGATGAGAGGGGAAGATATAAAAAAAATAAGCTGCAGTATGTACATGTAACCACTTCCCCAAGATGACTGCAAACTGCACGAAATGCAAATATATGCTAATTTAATATAACCAATAGTTATTAAACATATTTTTCCCAAACAAAATAAATAAATAATCAATGAATAAATGAGTCTGTAGATACAATTTAATTCAACAGTAACAAATGAAAATATACTTCAGAAGTGGGTAACATATCACATGCTGAAGAAGTAGGGAGAAAAAGAACTAATCTATGTGATGAAGGGTAACAGGATTTTGACCAGACACTATAATACTACAGACAAAATGAGCTACACATAAATGCTGTAATTTATGTAGTAAATATGTTTCTCACAGGGGCCTGGAATATGCTTTTACCAAAAATCACATAACCTCATTCCAATCATGAGAAAATATCAAGACAAACACAAACTGAGGGACATTCTATAAAG